GCCTGTGCTAAGGCCCACAAAGGTGGAGATGCCAATGCCAAGGTTGCAGTCCCAGGCGCCTCCCGCCTAGGCTGCGGCTAGGCTGGGGTCGGCGGATAAATATACATAAATATTTAAATATATATATTAAATATATTATCTATTTATTATATATTTATTTATTTACTTTGAATAATTTATAATTTAATATGAATTGAATTTATATATATATATATATTTGAAAATAAATGAAATAGTAATAAATATTACGAATTTTCATTGATATTTAATAAATTAATAAAATATAGTTCATATAATATATATAATAATTGATATAAAAAATATATAAATTAAATAAATGTATGTATATATCTTGAACAATGCAATATATATTTTTTTAATGAATTTAATCGAAGATTTTTAAATTAGAATTATTAAAATTAATATTAATATATTTAATAAGATTTAAATTTAAAATATTTTATTGATATTTTTATATATATAATATATGGAATATATTATTAATATTATAAGTTTGTTGATATAAAATATTTTTAATTGATGGATTCTGATGGATTTTTACGAATTAATATTATATTATATTTAATTATGAATATTACGAAAGGTAGCCTTTTAGGGGATATTTTGAGTTTGTTTTGCGAAGCAAGTGTTGGGACGTCCGGGTCTAATAATTGATCATTTAATTTAGATTCCCCCCCTACCCCCCGCCTCGAATTGATTTTTTAATAGAATCGCTTCCCCTCGCCTCTTTGGTTTTTTTTTTTTTTTTTTTTTCCCCCCCCCTTTTCTCCTCTAAAATTTGTTTTTTTTTGGAGTACGTCTTTATGAACCTTTTATGATTTTAGGATAATTGAAAATCCTCTTAAATATTTAGAAAGAATGAATATGAAATTTTAATTACGAAAGGAATTTTCCGAGGGGAAAGATACTTAGAATTTATTTTGTGAAATACGTTAATTTTTTCTTGGGGAGCATTTTCGTGAATTTCTTATGGTTTTAGGATAGTATAAATCTTATGATATTCTGATTTAATGCTTATCGATGATTTGAGCCATGGGGCAAATTTATTTTCTTAAGAATCTTTTTGAACACTTCGAGAGCATATGTTTGAAATATTTAGAATGTATAGGAATATATATTTACGAAAGGTCGCCTCCGAGGGGATAAATCACCATGTTAAATATTGCATTTTTGTTCCTGTTTCTCGCATTCTTTTTTCCTTCTCGTTGTTTTACCTTTCGTATTTCTTTCCTCTCAAATATATATATATAATATGATCAATTTGAATTGAATATTTTATATTGATTATTAATTGTAATTGGATATATCTTTTAATTCGATTAATGATTAAAATTTATCGATTTATTTTTAATTTGTTATATAGGATTGCACATAATGATATAGGCATGTAAAGGGTATAAAGAGGGGAAAAATGCATTTTTGTATACATATAATCTCATTTCTAGCCAGATATATTATCTACAAAGATAGAAAAAAATAATTGATTCGTGATGTCCATTAATTATATAGCCAATTATTTTATTGTTAGCGATATATTTCTTTAAGGATTGTTTTTCGAGAAATTAAATTTATGTGATGGCCAACGTGCTTGTAACGCATTCGCGGCGCGTAGGGCTTGACTAAACTATATTTATTGAAGTATCCAATAATATGTTTATTTGATGGTATTGGTAAAAACACGAATGCGTTCGCAATACGTTGGACTAAATAAAACACTATAATAATGTATTGAAGGACCTAACCAATTTTTTGATGGCATTGGTGAATGCACGTAGTCCGGATCTGATTTGGTTGGTTGATCGAAAGAACCTCCCCGATGTATGGAAGAGCCTAATTCCCAGATAGAATCCGATCGTTGCACAGAGTTGAGCCTTTTCCCAATGGCTCTCGATTTAACCTTTGCCGCCCGGGGCACCATCGGCCTCGGGGGTCACGAAGGACAATGGGAGACATCGAGAATCCACTATCCTCTATACTAGAAGAAAATCTTGCAGCCCATGCGTATGCATTCAAAAATTATTCGGGCATCAAAATTATTTCGATCATCTGGCCTCGAAACCATCCGGAAAATTTATCTATATTATAATATGCAAATAATTCATGAAATTAAAAATATTCCTGGAAATATAAAAATGATTGCATAAAAAATAATTTTCCCTATATGAAATAGAAGCATATTTTAAAAAAATATCAATCCTTTCCATATATCAATAATCAAATTCATAATCATGAAATTGGTCCCCGTCTAAGTATGTAATACATTATTAATATAATAAATATTTCCATCATTAAAGAAATTAATAATTATTATCAATACAAACTACGCGATACCGTTTCCGTCAAATCTAAATAATAAGATATAAAATTCCAATCGCCTCCGATTCCCTGAAATATAAATCGAACCTCCACGCAATGGCCACGATTGCATCCTACGATAAATTATATTAAAATAATAATCAACATACATAAAATATGATAATTTTTAATATTAAATTTAAATTCTATATCAATTAAAACATCATTTAAATGATTTCTTCCATTTTCAATCTCTAATATTATCATTACAAATATCATATTGTCAATTATATTTCGAATCTACCATATCCACGAATAAAATATCAATAATATAATTCTTTTGATATAAATCAAAATTAAATATAATACAATGGCTTTCCAATCTTACACATATATTCCTAATTTTAAGAATATCCATAATTTTTTTTTTCATTTCATCTGCAGGCAAATTGCTCTGGTTGCCCGTGTTGGGCCGCAGCTGGAAACGTATCCTAGCCGGACACTTCTGGAGTGTCTAGGCACCAGGCTCGAAGAAAGCTCATGTGAATCGATCACTGAGAAATTCATCAAAATTCTTTGGTTTCATAGGAAATGGACGTCTTCATTGTTGATTCATGAATTTCTTTGGAATGACCCACAGGAGATATATGGAGGTTGTAATCTCAGGATCAACACGCAAAGGAAGGGCCGAACGAAAGTCATCACAGGATTTGGCGGTACCACTGTGCCAAAGGATGCCACGATAGTGGCCTTCTGTGGGGGCATCTCCCAAATGGATGACGCCCGTTGTCACTACAAAATCATGCCATTCAACATGGACACCTCGGCGGTCACTGAAGACTGGAAGCTGCAAGGGCGTACATCTATCCCAAACAACAGAGCATCGGCTTTTCTGTCCAAGGGAGGGAAAACGAGACACCTGGATGCAGATCCAAGGGGAATCCCATGTGAAAACATGGACGAAAGACTTTTGATGATGCCAGTTGGAGACTATCTGTTGGAGCGAAATGAAGCCCTCAACCGGATATGCCATGGGTATTGGTGCAAACACAATGGCATGATCCTCAGTCGAACTTAACAAACGTGCGCTCCAGCCAGCCTGCATGTACTGTGGGAGTGTCTTTTCGAGCAGCCGTTGACGAAACCATCCAGCAAATTCCCAAACATCATGCTAATCCCGACTGGAATGGTCTTTGAACCAATCCACAAACAAGTGGCCTAGAAATTGCTTTGCACATGGGTCCACAACAATCCCTACATGCTCAACGAATATGCTCAAAATGTATTTCTCCCATGCTCCCCAAATGGCTGTATTGAAGGTCAAGCTCATAGCACAGCTCCATGTCTGAGCTAGTAGCACGCTGCTGATGTATATTGCCAGAGCCTCCCAATTTGGCCTCAAGGATGCCTGTCACGATCTCCTCAATCGTTGGGAGATGGCATTGGCGAGGGATGATCTCTGAAGATTGGCCATCCTGATTCGAAGCAAGATCAATTGTGTGATGCCATTGTCTAAGAGCTTCTGAAGTAGTTGGAACATCTCCGATACTTCCGAAGACCTCAGATTGAGGTCCAGACGCCATGGTATGGCCGTCGTGGCATCCTGAGGAAGAGTATTTTGCTTAATCGGCCGTAATGCCGAGAACTTGTGAATCACTCCTGGCTATTGTCCAAGATGGGCAATTCGTTCCAATAAGGATCGAATCTTTTCGGAGGTCAGCGGCTGCATCTGATTTGGCTTAAATATCATGGCCTTGCTATCCCATGAAAGATATGTCCACTTGTAATCCTTTGTCAAGATGCCTTTGGATTTCAAATTCTGAATCAAGGCGTCGTCGCTTACATCGAACTTCAACTGTTTAGCTCTCTGTACCAGCATTTAAAAACAATGCAAAAACATAGTAATCCGGAGTGGCATGATCACCTCGCCTTTCTCCTTAGCTAATTCCATTCTTTGGCCTGGGTGAGTAAATTGGGCATAATGCTCCCCCTACCATACTGGATAAAGAATATAAAATTCTTATCCAACTACAATTGTGAAATGGCGTCTTCCTACCTCAAAGTCAATTTAACAATTATGCGAAGCAATTCTTCGTTACCGCCATTCGACGTGGAAGCCGAGGATAAAGAGGATCTGGCTGCCAATGATCGTTTGCCAACGTTTTAAACGCCATCTACGAAATTTGTAAAGTTCTAATCGTCTACATACATCTCGTCCACCATTATATCGAATTCGTACGTACCACAATTACCAATTTTAGACCAATATATATTCAATCAAATGCAAAATTTAAATAAAATTTATTAATCAATTTAGAAATATTTCTTATATAGTATCAATTAAGGGCTAAATTCATATAAATAAATTCAATTCGTAAAAAAATACCATAAATTAAGATATATTTCAATAATACCATATCAATTTCGCTTCCGGTTCAAAAAATAAAATACCATTCAAACAATATTACGACTAATTCAACAAAGAACTTACTATTTCAAAAATCCATATATATAATTCATCCGGATATAAAAAACATAAATGCCAAAACAATCTAACATAATCAACCTCTATAATATTATCTATTCAATTCAAATCCAAAAAAGGCAAAATCGATTCCCCAAAAAATCGATTCATTAATAAATTATTTTTTATTTTTATTTTTCCTAATCAAACAAAAAAAAATATATAATATCTATATAGCATAATACAATAAATTATTACCTATATATTTTTAAAAAATATATATTACAAATATTAATCCTTAAAAATTTAATATTATAAATATTAAAAATATTAAAATTCCAATATTTTATAATCAATATAATTTTATAATTAGAATTATGAGACATATAATAATTCGTTTATATAAATATTCAATAACCATGATTTCTTAATACGTCCGATAAAAGAACACAAAAGGAGGACAAAACCCAATCGCAGAGCCCGGCCGCAGAGTTCAAGAGAGCGGCCGGTCAGTATGTCCTGCTTAGCGCGGCCAAAGACAAAAGGACAAGAGAAGGACAAAAGAAGTACCAGAGGAAAACAACAACAAAACAAGAGAAGGACAAGAGGAGGACAAGACCAACTTATGACGAATAAATAGTTATCATGAATCATGTCCAACTTATTTTCTTGTTTTTTCCATCGCTTGGTATGGTAAAATAAGCGGCAAAGGCGTAACCCATTGCATGGGAACTTGCCCCAAGCCTGCTCATCGGCTTCACTATTGCGAGCCACCAGCGATTGATGTCGAGCTCCAGATGTCTTCAATCTGAATCTGAAAAAGAATACATCTGTTCGAAGCATCAGCATTCCGAATCAGCCACTTGCTTGCTGTAGAATGCCACAATGAAGGTTAGCTATAAAATCGCCAAGAAAGCCACAACTTATCACTGCATGATGTAAATTAAGTCAAGCGGATGACCTGTGATATCGTTGGTCCACCGACCTGTAGGTCCGAGACCATCTCCGGACTCAACAGCGGATGTGGGTCTCCCGTTTTGGGATCTTCCTGCGTGGGCGGATTTGAACCGTCCAAAAAGGAGGAGGATACATTGGAGACGAAAGCAAAGGGACAATGCAGGTCCCAATTTCAGTCGTTTTCATTGGCATGTGTTGGATCAGTGTAAGCAGGTTACATTTATTTGACCTTGTTCGTCGGGACTGCTTTGGGCAAGCTTTGAAGTTGGGTTGTGCAGTCAAGATGTTCACTGATTTCAACATCAACCTGAATTCCTGACATAGATTCACATCAAACTCCGACAATACATTGATCCTTTTGATTGATGTCTTGCAAATATCTCCTGTCATTGCCTTTTCGTCTTTTCGTCTCCCCTTTTCACGCATCACTAGCAACTTTCTGCCTTCCGTGATCTCTCCTACGCTCTCGAAACCGCTGGAAACCCAAACTGACGGAGAGGCTTGTGGTCTGTGGCAGGTGGTTGATGGGCGTTTGCCCGCGCGTGGCAATCGGTGTCGACATCATCAGCGCTGTCGGGCTCTTATGCCTGGCGAAAGGGCTGGCTGGACTACAGTGACCGGGGGTTTCCGCGGAAAATGCCCTTGTTGCGTTTGGTGCGAGCCATTGGGTCCTTTAATTGCAAACTTGCAAGCAAAGCCAGAAAAAAAACTGCGTTTTTAGCAGTGGTACTCTGCACTCTTGAAGGTGCATTACACATCTTTGCACCCCCACTTCCCACTCCACTTGTTGTATCTTCGACCTTTTATCTACCCTGCGAGTACAAAGAAGGAAGAGCGGAAATGAAGCCAGTAGAAACTGAAGAGTTTGTCAACAAATGTCAATAGTGTTACTCTCGCTTACACTTTACTGAAGGACAACATCTAGGGGTCGTTTCATTGTCTTTCTCAAAGAGGAACAAACTCAATTATGGACGCTTAGGTTGGAGGGCAAGAACTCTTGTCTAAGGTGAAGGAGCCCATTGACATGCGGTCCTTGGATTGAGAACACAGCACGGAAATGCAAATTGTATGTATGCATGAATGTAAGTATCCATCGATCCATCGATCCATCGATCGATCCATCCATCCATCCATCGATCCATCCATCCAATCCATCTTATAAATAAATATATATATGTATATTCGTATTGACGACGCTCGTTCGGCAATGAACACAAAATGAGCCTCAAGCAACATTCACGAACTGAGTGATCTGCGTTTTGGCGAGTCTGAACAGTCCAGAAAAGAACAATCGGGACAAGAACATGATTCACCAACACTCAGCGATTGATTTGATACTTGCCAACACTGGGACTGAGGGAACCTACCGGATGGGTGATGGGTACGAAGAAGAAATTGCTCCACTCGGTTTCGTCTGTTACCACGTCATCATAACTTCAAGAAAGCTCCACGACCAGCAAGAACTACAAGTGATACCCAGCAGGCGATACAATGCAAGGATCAATACCTCTCAACACCTTCACTCCAGTGATGGGCAAACCCGCCAAACAACCTCCTCCCACTGGTGTGATCACATGCAATCACCCAAACGAAACCAACGAAACCCAACCCGACCACCAGGCTCATCCAGGCATCAAGCTTTGTATGATCATGAACCGAGCTGCTCCAGAGGTCACTGCCTTTGCCCAGTCGGGCTGTGTTCGGCACGTCACATCGCCGCACCACGCCTCCGTGTCTGCTTCTTCACGTCATCCACCCCGACACCTTGTCTTCACTGGACGACCAACTGGTCAGGTCGCTGAGGTGTGACGTTGTTCTTTTGGCATCGATACGAAAGGCTGGTGGGTCTGAAAAGAGCATGGACGAAAACCATGCCTATGCAGCACTATGGGTAACAAATAAGATCAAATCCATGCCTTCACAACTATCATGATTAAGCGGGCCAATACAATTACAGGTATCATCTTTTCATAAACGATCGACCAGGAAAGACTGGGCTGGCCGTGGCAGAAACAGTGTTTCGACGACCAATGAAACAGGCGGAAACAGGAAAGATCAGGAAACACTGCCTGCTGTGTGTGCCGTTTGGTGATCTTACGACCCCTTCGCGCAGCTAAACCCAAGAACATCTAAGAACACAAATCCGCACAAGACCGTTTCGGGGGATTCTTTAAGGTCTGTGTAAAACGGGTTCGTTTGCTTTGATGTGTTCTCAACAGCAGTCTCCTCCAGTCTCCTCAATAGTCCATGCCAACAGTCTGACTCCCGAACCGTTTCTCTGGAAATCAAGGTTTACCTTTCTTCATCTTTCTTCCACATTTCGCGTGGCTCGAGTGCAGCTCAATTGCACATGTCTGTAAAAAGGCCAGCTTCCAGTGGGCTAAGTCGACTTAAGATGACTTAAGCACAGAGACCACTTACACTGAGCAATTATAGATATTAATTGCAGTGGTTTCAGAGTAGATGGCACAACCCCCAAGATGTCTTTCAAATGGGGATCCATATAAACCACCTTTTGGTGATTGTGCCATGTACTCACAATCCACTGTAAGCTGCCAGAAGAGCGACAGCGAAAAGTGCGCCACATTCTGACTTTACTGTCGAGCATTTCACTGGCCTAGTGTTGATATTTCGCCCCAGAACTTGGGAACCGAAGCCAATTCAAACAAATTGGGTCGCTATCCATTCTCCCAGTTGGCAGGTGCACCCCGCCGTAGAACTGTGCCTGTGAGATTGGCCAACATCAAGAGCAAGGCCTTTCGATCCAAGATGGGCCACCCGCGTGTGACCGATGTGACAGCATGTGGCTTCGTGACCGCATTTGGCTCCGACCAGCGGGAAATGTGCCATGGAGTTGTCCGAAGGCATGAGGCCCTACACTCAATGGACTCTACAAACTGAGTGCATGCTGTGTCCAACGAAAATCCTCTATATATGTAGTCTTCTACGGCCCCTTGACTTAATTCAATAATATGCAGTGCTGGTATCATTTGTGGTTGAGCTCGCTTGGGCAGGTGGTCTGTAACCAAAGGACGTTCAGAACAAAGCATGAATATTAGATTATATATTGAACTATTAAAATATCTGAAGATCTCCATATACCTTGATGCAAAGCTGACCCGATGCAAACGTCAAAACCACATTCTTCAATCCCCAAATCTCCCAAGTCGTTTCTGCCCTAAACATACACCACGATGAACTGCGACGCTTAAATAGCACGTCCGTGATGAGGAGCTTTACGTACTAAACATCACACACAAACAACAGTTTCGGGTCATCATCCTTTCATCCTGTGAAGGATGTTTCACAAAAACAATGCAAACAAACAATCGCGGTTGGCAAGAAACGCTGAAGGCCCAAATATGTATCTTGGGGTAGCTCAGTGTGATAGGTCCACAGGACTTTGTTAACCACTCCGTTTCACCCACCGTGCAAGGACACACAGTTCACATTCTGATCATTCCTCATAGATTCGGCTGTAGATTCCAAAAACCCTTTGGCCTGCAATGAGGCACCCCCAAAATATCGAAAAGTCCCTCTTAAATTTGAAGTCCAGGAGCCTGGAAAGACCCAAAATCTCCCCCAGAAGGGGATTCAGTTACAGGGAAAATATGGGACAATAGAAGTTACCATATTATAGTACCCTGGTTCTCCAAACAGGAGCCCAAAGATCGGTAAAGTTGGAGCACCCACTGCACAGGGAAGACATTGGGCGGTGACCAAGCGGAGCAGCAACTCCATCCAAAGACCTCAAAACCAATGAACATAATATAGGCTCTTGATTAATAAACCCCTCCGTTTGAATTGAAGAACCTCTTTATATGGGGTGGTTTATTAATCACTAGTCTACATTTAATTTGCATAAACTAAGCATTGTGGGTTCTTGGTCTCGCCTTTTGAACGGCTAAGAGATCGTTGGGATTGATGAAATCACCAGCCTGCCTGGTCTGACGTTGACGCTCCATGGAACGTGTCGCGACTCGGACGCCAAGAACGACTTCCTCAAAGAGGAATTCTTCAACCCACTCAATCCACTGAACCTTCGGGGAGTAACCCCCCCTATTCGGATCCGTTGATTTCACTTAGCTGTATGTTTTCACCTTCCAAATCCATTCGCATCCAAGAAAAACTGCTCTCCAGGCGCCTCGGTTTTGGTTTCAGTGCGCCGTGCCGTGGCCATCACCTCTGCCACAGCAATACTGCTGGCGCAGCCGTGGAGGTGCCTGGCGCACAAAGGGATTTCACGTGGCACACCGGGGAGGTCGGGGGAGGCCTGAACACCACGGGTTCTTACTGCTTGCCGAACGAAGCCTCTTCGCTCAAGGACCCAACACCAGGTTTTCGAAGTTGGGAGCAAATTCTTGCTCAGACCATGGGTTTGAGTCTTGCTTCACCAAAGGCAATTGCTACCCGTCCTCCGGATGTTGACAAATCCCAACCAAACGAGTTCCATGATAATTATAGTGATTGTATAGACGAACTCCTGTATATTCCACCTGTAATTACAGGGCTTCTTTGATGAACTCGACAACACTGTTGGTTTTCTCTATTTGGAGCCATCTTTTCGAAGCCTCTGCTTTACCGGGCGGAAGTCATGAACCACTTCTGGGCGAACGCCTTGCTCCGTGGAGGAAATCTTCCAAAGAGATCTCACCATCGCCATCATCGATCATATTAAACCTCGACGCGATGAGTTGCAAACAACGACTTCGACGAGTTTCGCTATGAGTTTTTGCGCATTTGGAATGTTCCTTTCGGGATGCGTTTGCCTTGATTCCCGACTTAGACCATTAAACCGAGGAGTAAAAACACTAATCCCGAAGACCTTTAAACAACACTACGCAGTTGAAAGAAACATGTCGAAGACCCCTAAAAAAATACGGTTAATACTTGTTTTAAATTGCCGACTTCTGGAACTACTACTAAACCTTAAAACATAGGGCGTTTTGGGCCTGTGTGACTGCCCATTTCAACACACCACTTGGACTGCCATCCTGATCCCTAAATGGATTCTACTCTGGATACCCGCCATTTGGGGCACGCCAACCAACAAAAAACGACGTGTTTTTAAGTAGGTGGAAGGGACTTTATCCGGGCCTTGCACTCATTCATGGCCCAAGCACCAACTACTTCACCGAGACTAAACAGCTGGCGGCTTGGAAGCACAATATATTGGGTTTGAATACAATGCCACACTTCCAAAGCTAATTATATATAGTTTTGCAAAGCTATATGGCCAGTCTTGGCCCACCCTGGTTGCAACATTGACACAAAGATCCTGTTTTTTTTAAGCAACACATCCGCAGCCATGTCATTGATGATCATATGCTCTGTGGCCAACAAACTGCTAAAACGAGCCAGCGAGATATCTATATACTAAAATTATATACAGTAAATATATGTACAGTATATAGATATGATACATGGCATGACACAGCAGAAAGGTACATCACAGCATATCACAGCATATACGCACAGCTCAAACAAAAAAGGTACACCTTAATGACACAACACAATGAGACCGATCCGGATCCACACCAATCCATGGGACGCAGGTGCATGAGTCAGACCCGCCGCAGCACCGGCAGCGAAGTCGCGGTTTCGAAACCAGTCGTCTGACTGTCTCTGGTTTCTCATGGTTTCTCACTCTCAAACCATGGTCCTTTTTGTGGTTTAAGGATGAATTTTGGTAGACACGAAGAATGACAAGATCTGAACGTACCCGATGTGTTGCAACGTGTTATACCTGGGAATCACTTGCTGCACACCTACTGTGGCAGCCCTCTAATTGCAGTTCATCAGGATTTCCTTCCTGCTCTTCTTGGATCTTCATGCTTGCCACGTCTCAAGAATGATCACTAGATGCAAGGTCTGCCGAGTAGCAGGTTCACTAGATCATGACTCTCCAGTTCCAGAGTGGCCATCCAATTCCTCACAGCGCCAAGGCTGGTTGCTTGGTTGCTGCAGGGTCAGAGAAAGAAAGTCAGAATGCTGACCTATAATGACTTGCCCTTGGCTTGGAGCATATCAACACACCCGGACCCCATCTAAATGCATCGACATCCTTCACCATTGGATGTGACAGACCACGAAAAAAAACATCTCACAGTGTCTATCATTGATCTGGCCGCAATTGCGTCAAACATAGTCAAACTCTACTCACCCTTTGGCTTCTCCACATGTTTCCTGGCCTGAAAAAGACATCAGCCCGCCCACCCAACCCCCAAAAGTGAGTGCCAGTACGCCCGCCCTCAATCTTCCAAGAGTCTGCAGCTTGGGTGAGCCCAGCACTGCACTAAACTCTTTCCACGTCAACACACCTCAGCCAAGCGGTGTGCTGACCGACTTGCTGCCAAACACAGCTGTTCAATTGCTAAAGCATTCAGGTCCTGCCTCAACAACACATCACTTGCGTTCTAATTGACCTCGTATTTAAGGTTCGCTGCTGACCTGCCCCTTGCCCGTTTCGAGCCGAACACCTGGAAGCAAAAGGCGTCGGACGCCGCTTCCCCGACCGATCGCACGTCCTTTCAAAAACCAAGGAGCTCGGAGTTTACAATATATGGCTAACACACAAGAGCTGATCCAACATCGTGCGGAGTGTGAACGGACGATCCACATGATTGTATCAGTGCCTTTCCGCGGAAGTGCCTCGGGGTTTCCCCCCGGAGTAGCCCGAGCAACACCGCTCGACCAGCACAGGGTTTGGTGATGTTTGGCGCGTTCGCGGATGCCAAGAAACCATCTCCTGATTCATCCAGGCGTTTGAAGAAGGCTTCCAACTTCTTGGTATAGGCCTGGCCAAAACAAACGGCCATGGTGAAGACTTCAGAGAGTGAAAAAACTGATGTTGTGGCATCTCCTTGCCTGTTCTGGTTATTAGAGGTGCAGTTGGCAGGTTAAAAACCAGGAGACCTTGGTTGACCACCTCCTGGTTCCAGGGTCTGTGACCACAAGTTGGTTCTTCTTCTGGCCCCTGCCCTTTTGCAGTCAAATTGCCAAAGAAAAGGGTTTCATGCGAGCCATACATGTTGGGGATCTATACCAGGAGTCACAAAGGGGTGTTTTTTTGTCCCTAAGTGAGTGGATAATGGACACCCCTATCCTCCAATAGGCACCCCTTGTGACTGCTGGTATGTGTATTTTTATATATTTATGTCAATGGTTTTCTGTATCAGGGCCAGCATGGGCCGCTTCCCAGTTTCCCCAAACCATGGGTCAATTCCTGAAGGCGGAAGCGCCCGTTTTCTTGTGACGGAGGTTGGAACCCCTTTTCCCGCGTTGAATGGACACGAAAGCACCTCGGCGGAGATCTGGCGCTGTTGCATGGCCACCTCCTGGTCGGCCGCAGCCACCTGGTGGGGCGATGCAGACAGCAGCAGTGCTGTGCTGTTTGGGTTGGGCGATGTCGAAATCCACGGTCAGGATGATAAACCAGCCAAGTCTGGAATAGACATGTGTTGGGAAGCATTCAACATGGAACGTGAACTCCAAATCATTGAACACATGAAGAGAGACAACAAAGGAAAAATATGGATGCATTGTTGAATATGTTTGACATAGTCATCCAATCATCACTCGATATGTCGCTCCCAGCAAGTGCAACACTGGATCTCAGAGGGGGGGGGGCAAGCCGAAATTGTGTGGCAAAAGGATCGAAAAGCCTGTCATGCAGGACCTTTGTCCACATGACTCTGCTGTAAGGGGCCATGGCCCCCGAACTTCTTATGCAAAAAAATGAAGCTCCACGGAGGACTGTGATGGACTGTGGCTTCTTTTTCTTGCTCTGTAAGAGCACTACAGTACAGGGACTTTGTGAGCCCTGGAAGAGCCCTAACAGCTTATAAGCATTTGGTCCAGGGAGCAGGGCTTAGAGGAAGTAACTCCGTAACGAACATAGACAATAAACATTCACCGTGCATCTGCTGAAACAGGGCTTGATGTTCTGCCGTCGAAGGTTGGTTTTGGAGAAAGAATCTTCTTCTAATTAGTTGGGGGATGCCAATGGATTCAGAGTAAGAGACCTGGTGAACCATAGGTTCTTGCATGTTCTTTTCTACTTTTGAGCACCAGGTTCCTAGGAAAACTAGATGGAATTAGGAAGAAGGCCCCCTGGAACTGCTGCCTTCATCGTCTGCTGCAGAAAGACCTGGCAAGATCCGAAGCCGGGGTCAAACATGACTGGACATGGCCATGAAATCACCTTTACCTGGGCAACTTTCTTCTTCTTTCGTGTTTATCTTCTTCTTCCTCTTCCTCTTCCTCTCCTGTTCTCTCCTCTCCGGGTTCAATTTCTTGGGGAGCGCTCCAGTGTCGCAGCAAAGCGATGCTGACGTGCTCCACGCCATGGGTGGCTTTGCTGCGGTGAACAACACAACAACACGACGATCGTTTCAGGTCGACCTCGGAGGTCCTCAAGAGGTCCTTGTGGATTCATTCTTTGATTGAATTTGCTTTTTCGGAACCGGGACACCCATATTCCCCAGCAGGGGATTCACCCAGTTCGGGAAAATAGACACATCACCCGTAAGCAAAACCAGGTTTGGGTCTCCAAACCGTGCCGTGGTGGTCCAAATGGTCAAACCAAGCCATCCATGCCAATCAGCAATGTTTCAATGGATTATCTGGCACTGCCGAGGCACATCCGACTGTGATGATCCCTGAAAGAAAAGAGAGAGGTGCTATCCCAAGCTCATGTTCAATTCAAAACTAATACTATAAGTACTTCATTTAGCTTGACGGGGGGTCCAGTTCTGTGGTCTTTCCTGGCCACCGCCCGGTGAGAAGAAATCACGCACACCATCCGCGGAAGACATCGCCGGTGGGACGGCGGAGACCACGTTGAGCACCGCGAAGCCTACAGGTGGTCAGCTGCGAAGCCACCAACCACTCACCCCGACCGCCCAGAGTCAGCATGAACTGTGGTCGAACAAGCCTGCCAATAAAGCAACGATCGGCAATTCCATACAGAACTTGACGAAGGGCTGTTCGTGAATCATTCCTGAGAAGTCTTGCGTTGGATGTTGCTTTCCAAAGCAGAACAAAAGTAAAACATGCATTTCCATGCAAGATGATGTTGTGCATCAACCTTGGACCATCATACAAAAAATACCAAAAAACAATCGAGTGTCGACAAACAATCAGCCTAACACGTTTCCTGGATGATGCTGATGCAGGCTGGTTCAGGCACGACCTAATCCTTTAGCTCATGAGCCATCAAAGATTGTGTTCCCCAAGACAACAAACTGGCACCTCCAAAAAACTAAGATAAACACATCCTTTTCAACCAGGAATTCCCGTCCTCGCCTACAAGGCAGCGATAGATGATAAAGCCCAAAGAGTACCTCGTTTTCTCATGAATTTGTTGTAAAGAAGCTTGCAAGTGGGGCGGCAGTCCGGACGGTATGTAGAGAAATACCTACTCCGCAGTCCAACCGACACCAGCTCCTCCCATCTAAAACACACTGACAACATTGACACAACGTACTGTAACCACGAGGACAGAATAGATGCCTTCTCTTCCCAACATTCTGAAGTTGAGGCTAGACCGAGTTTGGAGGCATGTCCAATCAGGTGAAAGAGCTAGCACTGTCAGTCAGTCTTTGACTTGATTTGGTATTTCAAATTCAAGGCCTCCTTTGGAACCTTCTGCGTCAATGGTCAAATACTCAGCTACCTGCTAATTGGCGATAGAAATCCAACTTGTTCATTGCATTCTTTTGTCTGGATACTTTTGGTCCTTGTGTATTCCCTCCATTCCATTCCATTTACCGTCCTCTCTGCCAAGAATGCATGTAGTACAGTAAATACAACGCAATTGCACGTTGCAAAAGTGGCCATGAATTTCAACACGGATGGGTGTTGTGTTGAAATGATGTTTTTAAGGAATGTAGGCAAACAAATCCGTTCCCATGGATTCTTGGGCATGATTTCTGGGATTTTCTGGGAGAATCTGACATTTTGTCGGTGACACACACACACACACACACACACACGCATCGGTGCCTCGGATGTCCCATGCCCCCCATGTCCAAGGTCCATTCTGTTTGGCCCAAGACCAGGCATGTATGGGTAAAACATGTCTCCCACATCTTCAACTTGTAATTACCTCACAGTCCATTGACTGTCCATCCTCTCCAGCCCGTCGCATGACCCGACATGCGCACCATTCGCTGACGTTGTCCACCAAAATCCGACAGGGCGGGGCCCAGTTGGCCATCAAAACCTGCCAAAAGGAAACCAATTCTCGGAGAGCCTGACCCCCACAAGTCCCAATGATCCCAATCGGGTACCGGATTTTCTGTTTTTTTCCCAAGCAGTTTACTGTTAGGGGTTCTCAATTCTTTCTTAAGATGTGTCGGTCCTTTCTGTTTACTGTTAGGGGTTCTCACGTCTTTCTTAAGATGTGTCGGCCCTTTCTGTTTACTGTTAGGGGTTCTCAATTCTTTCTTAAGATGTGTCCGCCCTTTTCCGCTGGCCTTGCAGCAATTCTATTCATTTGTCTCCCATGTGATATCTTTACTTTTGTCTCCCAGGTGATTTCTCTACTTTCCCAAGCAGGTTACTGTTACGGGTTCCCAATGCTTTCTAAGAGTGTCCCATCTCTGCACGTCGCAAGCTCTAGTTGCAGAGTGTTCCGACTTTAAAGAACACACACTGTTTGGGGTCTACGGTGGCGTAACTTGTTGAATAGAAACTATTTCCACAGATCCCGAAACACACCCTCAGAATGGTCCTGCATTCGAGAGAATGACACGTCCAGTTGTCGCCGCTAGGTGGAAAAAAGGCTGTGAACTTGTGAAGAACGGCGGAAAGGTGGGTCTTTTTGAGGAGCTGGTTTTAATGGCAGAGATATCCTATCAAGCTAGCTTGCCACAAGGTGTAGTCATTAAGCAGGTTTCGTGGCTCCACTCCACCGTCACTGTGCCAAAGCGGGCTGTCGCATGTCAAAGCCTTTTCACCCATCCTACCATCGAGCCAAAGGCTGGTTCTTACTCAAATCAAATGGGTCGTGATCAGTCAATGTTCTCTATCCATGCTTGGGGCCAGTCAACTCAGCAGTTCTTCAGAGAGATTCCTGGAAGAACCTTTCATTGCAACCTGCCTGGCCTAATTGAACAAAATGATCCGATTCTCATCATTTAGACAGTTTTTTTTGTTTTTGCAATCTGCATATGCTTTAAGATTCATTAAATGAATCGAAAGGAACATCGCAAGAATATATATAATTAGTTATAATATGTTATGATTGATTTATATATATATATGTATCATTATGTATCTATTCATATCCATTCTATCCAACCAGCAACTGTTTTCGAAACTCTGTCGACTTTTGGTGACTCCCAACCGAGGGCTGCAAGCTGCACACGCTGCAATGCGTCTCGTTTTTCTGTTCGGTGCGAAACAACCGTTTTCCTGGAAGACCTTCTAAAGATTGACCAAAATCCTCTGAGGAAACGCACATGGAAAGAGTTCTAACCTTGCTGACCCTCCCCTCTTCTGCCCCAAAGGGTCACCATCAGCCAGAAATCCGTCAACTTGCCTCAAACATCGTGAGAAGTGTGCTCGTAAAAGTTCCGAAGTACCCTTGGTTGTCGGGAACGTGGGATGCTGGTGGCGGGACGCGTGCAGCCAGCTGTAGGAGATACCCTCAAGCTTGGTGAGAATGAATTCGAACACTCAGTAGGAGATCCTGATGAATTTCCTAAGGTTGGGGATATATGGTAAAAATTCCACATCTCTCACTCCTACCCAAAAAGTCATGGGAACAACTCACACGGCACTCAGCATGTCTCTGTTGTTCATGTTCCAGAATGCCCCAATTCAATCGGCTCAGGCATTTGTTAGGCCCAAGGAAAACGAGTCCAGACAATTCAAAAAACATAGGTTCACTTATTCGCCCTTGGCAACATTACATCACCCTCGCCAACCCTCTAACCCGATATTGAACAGTTGCGAAGGGGAGGTGTACGGGGAGGTACGCACCTCTCTGTCATCCCAAGGATGCCTCATGTTTGAGAAGCTGAGCCTTTCATAGAAAAAATCCAGTCAAATCCAAAATTAATCATTCTGCCTATATACTGCAATCCTACGGCATCTTGCCATAAGTATCTCCATTGCACCATTGCACCCTCATCATTCACCCCGATGTAGGTTTGCCATGCTTTGCAGCCTCGTTAGTGAAGCCTAACCCCCGCCAGATCCACTCCAAGGGGCGGAAGACCTCTTGCCGAACTTCGGGATCCTCCAAGGGGTCGGCCAAAAAACTTTGGAGGGATTGTGCCAGAAGCATCCCTGCAATGCCTGAGCTCAGAGGGGCCTTTTCGCTGATGCCGATCCGTAACTGGAACACTTCATGACCTTCCTAGGTCGGAACGTGGCTGCGTGGAATCCGTCTCGCGGACGCTCCGAATGGCGGACGGGGAATTAGGTGGTCGGTTCGGTTCCAAGGCGGGTCGGATCCGTCATCATGACGCAGTAATCGTATCGTGTACATTGAATATTATCCAATACTATAAACCGCCGACCCTGCCCTAGCTATGGTCACGAAGGGTGGCACCTTGGGACCAACCACCGTAAGTGCGGAGCTTTGCGGGGATGTTGAGCAAAGCTTTTCACCAGCTGCAGCAAAACCAAACTTTTCCTTCAAAAGCCTCTGTCGAGCCTTGCAAGCGGCCACAAGTGTCTTTGTATGAGACTTCAACACTGCCGTCTGGCACAGCCATCTCTTTATGAGGCGTCAAAATTGCCGTCTGGCACAGTTTCTTCTGCTTCAAAAGCCCCTGGCAAGCGTGGAACCCTGCATGCTGCCAGAGCCGCCTTTTATGTGGGGCTTCATCAATACTGCCGTCTGGCATGGTTTTCTTCTGCTTCAAAACTGAATTCTGGGACGGCTTCTGTTGCTTTAACAGCGTCTCGGAAGTGCTTCAAAACTGCTGTGTGGTACAGCTTCCTTCTCCTTCAAAGCATTTGGGCAGGGTCGGGCCCTGCAAGCCGCCACAACTGTCTCTCTATCAGGCTTCAAAGCTGCCGTCTGGCACGGTTCCCTTCTGCTTCAAAAAACACTTGGGCGCACGCTGCCAGAACCGTCTCTGCATGAGGCTTCAATATTGACGTCTGGCACCGTTTTCTTTTGCTTTCTGGCGGGCGTGGAGCCCTGCAAGCTGGCAGAACTGCCTCTCTATGAGCTTCAAAACTGCTGTCTGGCACGGCTTTGTTTTGCTTCGAAAGGCTGTGGGCGTAGACTCCTCTCTCTATCAAGCTTCAAAACGGCCGTCTAAGACGTATCTTTCACGCGCCTTCCAGAACCAAAAAGGATCACCTACAGCTCGCGGTGTTTTCGTTTGCGTCAACAATGGGCAAGCAATTCAGTGATCTGCTTGGAGTCGAGGGGAAGCACACTTGCTGGTGGTTGCACGACCCGCCCAACATGAAAGTAGAAAGAAGACCAAAATCCCGGTGCAAAAAAAAACATTCACCAATCCTGACATGCCGTAGTGTTTTTGTGAGTTTGGCCCTGCGCAGTTGTGCGTATAGGACCATCCAAATCACAGGGAAGTTCCAACCAGCGATCAGCCCATGTCGGACAAAACGCGTCTGGAAGGAGCCCTTCGAGCAGTATGGCCTGTCCTTCCAACCAACTCACTCTTCAGGCAACTCCATAAAACACTAAATAACGGTGATCAAGCATGTGATGAAAGCCAAACACTTTTTTGTCGTGCGCTGCTTTCTCTAGTGCCAGTGCTGAGTGCGGCTAAAGCTGGTTGTATCTACTTAATGTATCTTGTTCACCTCCTATGTCAGTTCCTTCTTCCTCGCCGTCCTGGCTTCGAAGTCCTTCAAGCCACTTGCGCACGCTGCTGGCGCACACATTGCCCGAGCTCACAGACAGCTCTTCCCGCCGCTAGTCCTATACCATCAGGCATGCCACGGTGCTATACATAGCGTAGCTAGGCTGCCCTGAATACTCACCAACCACCACCTCGGCCACAACCACAGTCTTCTCTGGCTTCAGGAGCTCACTAGATGATGCCAGTCCGACGCAGACAACGTTGTTTCCTTCGGAATGGACCCCCCTTGCCCGAACATGCAGCAGCCAGTGTTTGGGTTCGATTGCTACACTTGGGCGCTGACGCCTGCATCTTTTCTCCTGCATTAGACAGCTCTCCAGTTGCCTCTGTCAGGGCGGTCTGCACTGCACTTGCCGTGCAGCTTCTTGCGCAGGATGCTGCCCGGTGCCCTACGCCTGTCTTGCGTAAAGAGGGGTTGGTCGGGGTCGACCCTACCACAACAACGACCACCGCGACCACAACAATCACCTGCTTGCCCTTGCCGCCCTGCCACTCAACACCCTGCTGGCCCGCTGTTGGGCGTAAGCCCCCTAAATATGTAAATATACATACATATATATATATATATGTGTGTGCATATATTGTATTAATATGCATATTGTTATTATCGCATTAAATCAGTTACTACTTATAAATATACATATTCATATACAAATATACAATATAATATAATATATAACACTATATATATATTATAAATAGTTTTATAGACTGTATGGATATATCTGGCACCGTAGTGCGCATCGTAGGGTACATCCAGCTTACATTCAACAGCGCCCCGCCGACGGAGTGTTTTCCTATGGGCATCTGGAATCACAAACATAAGCCATCATGTAGACCGTTGATTGAGTTTCATACCCCATATATATTACGAAAATGTAAAATCATTGTGGTAAGGAGGGTTTTATCTGATCAATAGTCTGCACCTGATTCGACTCTGGCAGCACATTGGCTTGCAATGAAGGGATCTCTTTCTTAAAGGCCCTGGCCTTGACCCTGCCGTATCGTTGGGCCATCCAACATAAACAACTTATATACTGTCTAACAATTGGTGGGGACGGGATCTGGACAGATTGGAGTATGGTGAAACTTTCAAAACCGATTCTGCATGGAAGGGGACAAGGAAGGGAGCGGGCTCCGCGATCCCTCCGCGATCTCCACTTGCAGACGGCATGCATTGGATGATGGCCAATAAGCAAAGAGACCAAAAGAGCACTTCCTCAGCAAAGGAACCGTCTTCAACTGACAGAACTCTGCGTGTTGCCAAAGGTGTGTCGGACAATTGGATGTGCCTTTTGCTGCATTAAGCTCTGCTACAAGAGGAGTTATCCAACTATAGAAGGATATGCAAACTGCTGCATCCCACACAACTCAGCTCACAGTCTGACATGTTTCGGCTTCGAATCTTGCCAAAGACTCTTGCTTGACCCCCCCGGCCCAAGTTTCCTCCTAAAAGTTAAAGGTCCTTGCAAAGGAAAAACATTTCACACCACTCACACCACATTCAAAGTATGCACGGGTCCAGAGTGGTCCAGCAGTCCACCCATTGGGACGTAGGTTTTCCGCAGAACGGAAGTGGAAAGGTTGAAGGAGCTTCCCTTCAAACTCTTGGAAACTGTGACGATCTGTGCACTGGGATTTCACTGACCCAAAAAGATTCCACCACTTCTAGGAGCTCAAGCGAAGTAAAGGATGCGGACCCATGACCAGAATTGTGGTCTGGAGGCCACGCAGGCCACCGCTATAGTTGCATTAAAAAAGTGCCCTGGGCTTTTCAAAATGGAGTCCTCAAGACATTGCAGCACTCACCAAGTGAACAACATCTAGACAGAAAGCACTATGTTCCCGAACACGCCTTGGTGCGTTCATTCGGCATGCCTGTCCATGAAAAAGTCTGCCGCGTCCATGACCCGCTGAGCTCTGTTTTCTCGCCCAGACGCTACGCTTGCACGCACCGACTTCAACAGCAAGTGGAGCGACCCCAGGATGTGAGCTCCTGGGGCCCAAATGGATGGCAAGCTGCAAGCGTGCTGATAAGGAGTTGAAGGACCCAGTTGATAAGGAGTTGATAAAGGCAAATTCAGGTCAACAATCAGTATTTTTCTTTGGCTTCATCACAAAGCTTACCTTTGGGAGAGAGACCTGAAGACGTGAGGGTGTGGACATGGAAACGGTTACCAACAAATAAGATCGTCAGTTATATGTATATATTTACCTTGACACATATGGACACCATGGCAAGATCGTATCTACAATTACTGAGATGTTGCAGAGGTAGGGAAACAAAAAGGAAAACAAACTCACACACACACACACATCTTCTGTGAGACCAAGAAAAATCTCCATACTCGATCGAACAGTAGACCTTCGGTCCTTAGGTGTGGGAACTTGCAACAAATCTCATAGCCCACACTTCAAGGACGCTACTAGTAGCTCCTGGCCTTAGCAAATAGCTACTATAGTAGCTATTTGCTCCAAGTAGTAATGCCCTTGCTGCTAGTAGCGATGCCCTTGTTTCTCCAATGTTCTAAGAATTTGAGTAGCAACGGGTTGGGGGCACTGGCACTCCCGTGGTCGCTCCAAACGGCTCCCTGTTTGGGGAAGAACTGAATACCACCGGTTTTCCGCGACCTTCTCGCCGCGACCGCCGCTCCCTCCGTCGCTGCCCAGCATCGCTTCAAGACCCGAAGGCTGCGAGCAACCTTCGCGAAGCGCAAGAGCCGTAGGAAGGGCGCATTCACAGGGAAGTTGTCCCCAAAAATGTCCTGGCAGGGATCTGGGATGGCGCCACTGGACCAATGGAGTGGGGTGTAGTACTTCCGTAGTAGGGAGTTTCCTCTAAAAGAGTCTTCAGGGAGGAATCAGTTTCTCTCATGTATGACCCTGGATTTGATCGCCTTCTTTTTGGAGTGCCTATTTATTGGTGACAGCGGGTATCTTTGCGTCTTGGACGGGGAACAGAGTTCTGTTCATGATCCGTATTCACCTCGATGGACCATGTCCGCGGACTCTCGGATGACTGGACTCCGTCGGATCATGTGAGTTAAAGAACCATGGACCAAGTAACCTGAAGATCCCTTCTCATGGAACATCTATCGCCTATAGCCATCCCCAAAAAAGCGCTCCAACAAGACATGCGAGAAAAAGCTCTTCCAATGGACAGCTCTGGGACAGCTCTGGGAGATGAGAGACGAGACGAATTCACCGACTGTCTGCGCCTCCATCAAACTACAGGAGACCACCACGAAGTCCAAGAGATTCAACCTGAGCCGCACCAGGGTTGCAGCGCACGAACGCGCACAGGAAAACCCTGAGCTGGGAAAAACACGGCTCAATCTAGAGAGGTTGGAGAAACATGGGGAAGGGCTGTGGCGCGTGGCTTCCCGAAGGATTTGGCCTTAATTGATCCATTCCTCGTACTTGATCCGGGCAGGGGAATGGACACATGCTAAAGCATGGACTTTAACAGACTTTTATAATAACTACTTGTGAAAAACACAACAACATTAGAAGCCAATCACAATATCTGGTCTGATGGTGTCCGGGACGAGGCCTCGGATACGCAAACTCGAACAACAGAAACGCAATGTCTGGTCGATGTGCATTCCTTTTTACCCAATTCGTCAGGCCCCTCTTCCTCACAGGGAAAAGCAACCCTGGCTTTCTCTTCCGGGCCGCCGACTGTCATACAGTAGTCATGCGGTTCCTCTCTTGACCGAGGAGCGTTTGGCAAAAGAAGCGGAGACGCAGCACACAAACTCGCATCATGATGTCAAGCACGAAGAGTCCTGTGAAGGTCCTGGATCAATGAGCAAATTGTTTGTACCAAGAAGCTGCTAGGTTGGAGGCCATCGCTATTCTGTTGGAGGCCATCGCTACTAGTACCAAGAAGCTACTATAGGAACAAGTGCATCGCTAATAGTAGCAAGAAGCTTTCTTGCTTTCTGCTTCCCATCTCCAGGTATAGACTGTTTCAACCGCTGGGTCGACCGAAGGCGTCGACCCAAGTGTCTAGGATTGAGCCTGACCACCTGGCCCCACCTGGCCAAAATGCAGTTCTTTTGGGCATGTATTTATTGCGACACAAATAAATCTTTAAGATCCACCCAATCATCTTCGAGTAGCAAACTGAAACAAAACAAATATCCAAAGTCAGCACTGCTGCTGGGCCACCTGTCCATCCAGCGCAAAACCACCTTGGAACATCGGCTTGTCCGTCTGGGATGCTTCAAGGAAGAAACACCGGATGGTCAGAAGTCCTCTTTTGCAAACTGGTCATGTTGAATCTTGACGCCCTGAAAAGGAAACAAACAACATCACCGTTGTCAGCAGGGTCTAGTGGACCATTTGCTCGTCCTTCGAGGTTGGAATCCTGCGGCCGAGAATTCATCCAGAGCACAGGCAGGGGCGGTTCTTTCATGTTCTTTCAAGTGGTCTTTGTTGGCCTTGGACCTTCAGCATCAAGGTCTAATGCCACGGACTGGACCGGTACGTCATCCCCAGGGTGCCCAGGATCTCCCTGAGGTGCCCATATACTCTCCCGCAAACGATCCCATCAAACCTGAGAATTGATGGAACCCCATGTGGTCCGTCCTCTGTGGAGTAACATACAAAGACCACCTGAATGGTGCCAAACCCAGGCCACTCCCCGCCATGGCCAGTCCAGGCGCTGGCCACTGGTGCCAAACCTCCTCAGGTGGATGGATCAGCTTCGGATACTGCAGCTCGTAGCCGATTCTCAGCATTGGCTGACCCAAAGTGGGACGTCCAAAACCAACGGTTTTGGGAGGTGGACCCCCTTGATCGGCGCCAGTCAGCACGCCCAAAGATCATCGATATATCAAAATAAGTAATCACTACCTTATCTAAGTGATATCAATAGGAACGGGACACATATTTGGGGCGATAGACTTGGATTTGGATGTCACCTGAACATGACAAACATGACACATGGCCGCTCATGACACCTGGCCCAAGGCCTCGATCGTCACAACCTGCAGCCGAACCGGGCTGCGGAATGTCCTCTCTCCGTTGCATTTAATTAACATCCTATAGAACCCTGTTTTGGAGTCAAAACATGATCTTTACCTATATCAAAACAAAGGTCATATGGGTTCTAGGATGCTTCTGGCAAACACTATCAGATCAGTGGAAACCAGGAATGTCAGCCCACGATGTTTTTGGGCACGCGGTCTTGTCAGATCGGCTTGCTGCACGTCCCTTGCACTACGGCAAGGACAGGTATGGTAGTTGTTTTCTATTGTTCTCTACATGTTCCCAAAGTTGGAACGCTCAGCATGCGAGGACGCATGCTGAGTGCGTGAATAGTTAGTATGCCACTTTAGCACCGAGACGGATTCAAGACTTGCAAAGGGATATGATATGATGTTTACTTTGTGTTTGATCGACCAAGGATAAAACATGCTCCACGTCCAACTGGACATTTGTTCAACTGGACTTTTTGTTCCACGTGGGAGATCTTTTGAGATTAGATAGACCGTAGAATATTATGCACTGTCAGATTTGGTACTGCACATTTCAAAAGCATAGTATGGGTTGATATCAAGAGCCAATATGTACTCCTGCATGAACATGGATGTAAATGAACATGGCCCAAACCGACTCTTGCGATTCCAAACATAAGAATGTCCTTCCTACTCCAGCCAAATTCTTTGAAGAAGGACATCTGCGCCTGATCATGATCCAAATACTGACATCTTGGGTCTAATACTGGGGGAACCAGTGATGCACCCAACCGCTCCGACCCCTTGGACCATGGGCCGTTCGTGCGATGGTCGTTCGCGTGGTGCTGGCAATGCTGGTTGCAGGGACTTGGTCTTCCCATTCCAAACATCCAAATGGAAGTCGGAACTCCATCCAAATCAAACCTCCAAACGGACTTCTGACGTTATTTCATAGTGACCTGTGTATCAGCAGCAGGGATTCTAGTGAAATCGCCCTGTTCGAAACCTCCTGAACCATGACACTTCAGCAAGGTCTGGCTCCAAAAAATCGGAAAAAACGACTCAAACACGAAAGGAAAACAAACACATCGAGGCCGAGTTTGGAGGCTTGTCGAGCCCAAGTCACACGTAGCCCTCGTACTGCATTTCCAAAGCCAGCACCATGACACTCACCAGGATGAGGATTCCCATGCAAAGCTCCTTAGAAACAAGAAGAATTCAGCTATATAGTCATTTGCATCCACTTCATAGCACTTCAGTCTCCTAAACTGTGCTGGATTTTTTTGAATATTGTTGTCGAAATCCTCCAATCACTTTTTGGACAGCCATAAGAACGCAATCCTGCGATTTCACTTCACCACAAATGTTATAAACCGTGCATGTGTATAAAATGAGTGAGGCAATAAAAATTCACTGAACTATTGAAAGGACTGCAAAATACAAACAAATACATTGCCTGTCTACACACCTGTAGAAGGCCTGCGATCCAAGACTGGAGCAGGTTTGACCATGGATCTGTTGAATTGAGAGTTTCAACTTGCACGACTCATCTATTTTGCCAGGCACTTTGATAGGGGAGCCTACTATCTAAGCTGCATATTCATGATGAAAGCTGTTCATGACCCAAAAAATCACAAACCTCGGACCTCAGAGCCAGCAAATGTTTTTTTTGGCAGCCTTTTGAACCCAAAACTAACTACTCTCGGGTACTGTACAAATCGATGCTTTTTCGATGCATCGACAAAGCGCTTCGCGCTGTCCGTCGTCGTCATTGGGCTCATCAAACGCCGTCTCCGTCTCCACCCAGGCGCGTAGCTGTCCGCCTCAAAGAAAGATCCGTTCAGGCTTCCACTGCTTCCAAAGCGAGGTAGAGGTCCTTCTCCCTGAGCCGTTGGAGCTTGGGTGGCTGGTTGGAGCTTGGGACGCGTTCAAAATCAAACAACAGATTACCGTGGCTGACCCTTTTGTGCGGGGCTGTATATGGCTGCATTTCTTCTCACCAAATAAGATCTAGATGTATTTGAAAATGAAACAAATGCTTTCAATGAAGTTCTGCAGTCCGGAGTTTCTTGGTGAAACTGAATCAATTGAATCAATTAATTATGATGAATCAGCCGTACCTGGAGAGGGACCTTCACACCCAGGGCTGAATTGTCAGGTGTAGGTCATTGCAGGTCCACACTACCCTGTCAAATATCCTTGGCTTTGAAGGGAACACCTGCCCCAGGTCCTGCAAACAGTTGACATATGTATATATATACACGGACAAACATACTCCAATCAAAACAGGATATAGTAATATAGTATGTATATATATAATATAAATAACTATAAACATGTTGCATAGACACCGATATGAGCCTCAAGGGAGAAGCGCCAGCCAAGTAGAACTATACTTCTTATACTTATCATATCTTATCTTAACCCCACTAGAAATCAGTTTGTGTGATAGAACTGAACTGTCCCTACCGGCCAACCTCTTTTCAGACCAAAATCGAACCTGATGTCTTTGAGACGTGCGATGAAAAACTCCCCATGATCCCACCCGCCTGACTGCTCATGGTGGGGATCACTGCAACCGCTTGGGCAGGGGCAGTGGCGGCAGTGGTAGTGCCCTCTTCGAACTGGCAAAGTGATCAAGCTGTCAGAACTGACCAAAGGTCTATATCAGTCATAAGGCCCTGCCCTTCTACTTACTTCTTACTGAGCAAGCAAGGACCTCTGCTATGCCTGGAAAAACAGGTCTCTTTACTTTGCAAATTATGGTTTCTGGGCTTGAAGTGGTGAGGTCAACTTTCTAGACAGTTTCATCGATCAAGCTCTGGGTCATATTAAGCGACCAGCACACTACCCCAGGAACTCCTTGACACGCTCCTTGGCTGCCCTGTTCGAAAAATGTGGAAAGGCCCTAGATTGGTCCAACATCTAACTGCCTACGAAGAAGCAATGCTGGAGAGATGGTCTCCGATATATCGAATTCCTGGGAAAGGTGTTGCTTCAGATTTGGCCCCATACAAACAAACTCACCTATAATACCTCATAGGGACTGCAACCTCTGGATTAATGCAACCTCTGGAATGTCGCCTCATGTCGCCTCTGTTGGCAGGACGGCCAAGAAGCTGCCACAAATTGAACAGTTGTTCGTGCCTTGGCGCCTTGGAAATCGCCTATTTCCACTGTTAGAGCCAAACCAAAGACCTGTTCACCGACATCAAACACCTTCGCTTCGAAGTAGCTGAAAAAACCGACACCCTTTCAGTTTAATGGTCAACACCGTCGCGAGGAGCGGCGCCTTGACTTGATGGGGCGGTGCCGCTCCTTCTTCATACTGGCGGTGCCGCTGGTCTTTTGGAGTCGAAGGGTTGTTCAAAGCAACAGGATTGAAATCGCCTCCTGGAGCCGTCTTAAACATGTCCCAACAGGTCCAAATGTCTTAAACTGGCCTTCTGATGCAACTCTCGCTTCCCTCACTACCACCTTAAATATTACTGTCGCACAAATGGTGAGAGTGAAAGCGCAGATCCTGCTAAAGTGCCGAAATAAAACAACATGACTACCAGGGATGCCAAGCAAAACCACACATATGCTTATATAATTAGAGTACTTAATGTTGGGTCCAGTTTTAGGTCCAGTCTCCATCGCATCAACAAGTTTCATTCAAACAAGCTGAACGTCCTCGCTCTCACAGAACTTTGAGCCAATCTGAAAGGGAAAACTTGGACTCCGACGGCACAGAACACATTTTTAAAATCGACCCCAAATAAATAGACGTTCGTAGATCCCCACTCAAAATGTATTGGAAACCGTGCCACTATCTATTTGAGGACCACCATTTGTCAACCCCCCTGTTTGTAAAGGAGTACATATATATATATATAGAGAGAGAGAGATAGATAGAGAATATTGTAATATATAGTCTTCCTTTTGGGACCATGCCATCAACGTAACCATGTGATGTGTTACTGGGAATGTATATACATATATATATATAAAGACTCTATCAACCCAAACCGTTTCGGTGCGTATTCTTTCTCTTCGGATCGCCTATGTTTGAGGAGAAACCCGAGATTCGGGGCATCCAAATCATCTCTATCCGATTACCAACAATCTCACTCAATCCATACGACCAGCTGAGATGGATGTTCCTGGTGATGTCGAGGGCTGAACTTGCTGCTGCCTTTTACGGCCCCTTTCTCCAAACGAGTCTACTTTCATTTGTGTGAAGGGGCCCAGTTAGTATTTGTGCCTGTATTGCAAGACACCGGACATGGCGCTGTACCCCAAACATCCAGGGCCTTGACTGCGCCACTTGCTGCACCTTCTTGATACTGGCATGGAGCTGCCGAGTGAAGGTGTCTTTTAGAGTCTTTGGGAATCCAAAGACATGCAACTACAACAATTCGATAATAGGGGCAACCTGACGCAACCTGAATGGGACAACACCCCCCCCAAAAAATATGGTTTGCAATCAAAACACATCAAAAAGGGAGGCTTCTACCTCTTCCAACGAAACAGCTTCAACCTCTTCAATCGTGAATGGCTGCCCACTCCGCGATCGGCGAAAGCGTTGGCAGAATCCTTCACTCCTGACGACCTCTCGCCATCCCCATCACCTCAACAGCATCACCTCAGCCAATTCCTCGGACGTCCATCCGATGTCTGGCGATCCGCCATTGGCTTGCCATGGCCATGGTCTGGCCGCCAGTCTCTTTAAACATCTCTCCGAATCCTCTAAGCTGTTCCCTCAAATACACTGGAGGGCTAGTTCTGAACCAACGACAACATCTTTGGAACATCTACTGGATTCACACATGAACAAACAGTCAAAAGACCTGCAGCGACGCTGGTTGATGGGCAGTCCTGAAGCTCCAAGACAACCAAGGCTGGACCGTTCATGACCTTTGATTGATGTTGATCACCCCTTTTGGGATCCTTTTTGCTAGATACACGAGAAATATATGAGTAATGAATTGTGGGTATTCTCATCTCACCAAAAAACGCTCCACACTTCCTTTCATCGAAGAACACATACGCCGGTCCCGCATCCGGCCAGGGAAGGCCAGCACCGACCTACGCCGGTCCCGGTAGGCCGGCCTCCATGGTGTCTTGGGAGAGTTCGAAGGTCGACCCGGACGTCAGTCTCAACATCTGGGGCCGCCCGGGTCGGTCGCACGGCGAGACACTCCACGGCACGACACGGCGGCGTTGGTTCGTGTCGTGTCGACGCAATAGAAGGGACGACACGCCCGAGGTGAAGGACACCCAAAGTGAGTTGAAGCCAAGAACAGGATGCGAAAAGAGTGAAAACATGATGAAAAAAACAGGATGTGGTGCGACCATGTGAACCGGAGCCTTGCGCTAAAGCAGGTTGAAGCTGATGATAGATGATTATGGTATCTTAGGGGAGCTTTCTATAGTAAACCAACGTTACCATAGAACTGAGGACCGTGAAACATTGCTCTAAGGGACACTGAAGTATGGAACTGAGCTGGAGTTTGCGTCTCAAAGTGTGTTCTGCTGCACCTTCACAGCCTGGATGGTCCTGCGATTTTTTGCGAGACAGGCGATTCGTTCTGTACCTATCCCGACATCCCCAGCCTTAACCCCAATCGCAAGAACCCCGATCGTGTGTCCACACTGTTTGGAGAAAAAAATCAACTGATCGCTGATCGCATTGAATCAGTTTGTCCCGAGCGCACACCATGAGTTCTTGAATGTCGAAACCTACTCTTGGATCAAACCTGCCCATCCACGAAGTGACGTAGGAAGTGATGCTGGAGTCGGATTTTCTCTCCATCAGAGTACTCTTTGAGCCCGAGTACGAGTTGGACATGTAGTACTCTTTGGCTCAAAGAACATCAGAGATCCATCCACGATCTATCGTTGCGCAACGGTTTTTGGAACCACCAGCCCTCCCCCAGTCCCCCCCTCCACGTCTGGGGTCTTCCGACTGGAAAGCGGCTGATGGGAAGATCTGGGGCACCGTCCGTCGGCGGAGGACGTAGAGGACGAAGACGACGTCGGCTCTGACGCCATGACGAAGTCTGACTCGTAACATGTGAGAGTCGAAGGGCACGAGAACTCCATCACGTGCCAGCAAGAAGGATCCAACGATCTAAAGATTCATGGCAACATTTGTGTAGCTCGAGCTGGGCACAGCATCAAAGGCTTGTACTATAGACTTTGATTAGAAGGAACAAGTAAAGTTGACAGGTTTTCAACGAGTAGCAAAAATGCAACCTAGATCCTACAACCCCCTGGGAGTGGCCGCGTTCCTCGATCAAGCGGCCACTAGGTTGTTCTCCATAGAACTGAAACCAAGTACCTTCTCTTCGGCTCAACGAACTGCTGAAACACCGCGTCCAACCTTCTTAATATAGATGTCTATCAACCTGCATAGAACCCAGACATGCTTTGGGGACAAGCGTGGGTTCCACCTGCCTACGCCAAATACATCCAATTGAATCCAGTTGACACGTTCCAGCAGATGAACACCTGATGTTTCCAGCCTTCCTTGGTCAGGACTTCTCCCCTCCCGACTCACGACGACGACCGATGTGTCCATGCCTTCCCGAGCGACGACGTCCTGAGACGGAGGAGTCCAAGCGAGGTCAAGCCCTAAAAACAGCGTCCAAAATCAGAATGCTCGGTAGATCCTCACCTCATGGCAGAGAGATCTGAACTTGACACGTGATACGGGTGCCTCAAGGATCCAAACAACTCCCGTTCAAAAAGAGCAGCCAAAGGCATCTTTTTAATATAAGCAGGACTCAAGTAGCAATGAACCTGGTGCTCTTAGGCATCAAATACACGTGTGTACAGTATATATCATTCAACATGGCGGCCCTGGGACTTGCCAAAGAGGGTTGCTCGACAAAATGATCGTCACGTTGTGACATGCTTATATATATATATAAAAACGTATATCATCAACACGTTTTTTTTGTTGGACCGCTCGATGATCCGACCCATGCTCAAAGCTTTGACCCGATGCACAATTCTACTTTGACATTGAGGAAGCCAAGTTTGTTTCGTGGTGAAATCATGGCAATTTCTCCTGTCCACTCTTAAGAGGCAACGCTGTGCAATTGTGCGCTCACCAAACAACTCTCATGTCGGAAACGCCCCACGCCACAACCCCCTGGCCATGGAGTTTTGCAGGGCACATGGACACATCGCTGCTCATCCATGATAACCAGCACCGTGTCAATTGCCCATCCCAAATACAAACGGGATAACAAGGTTCTTCATGGAACAAACGTGAGCAACACATAACAAAACAATGCTTTTCCTTCTACCCCTTCCTGCTGTGCTCTAGTCTCTTTAAACATGTACTGCCACGCACTACCTTCCTGAAGAACCCAAGTTCTTCTGTATAGCTTCGGTGAGGAAGGCCACTGGGATGTGTGGTGTGATGCCAGCCGACGTGTACGCTCTGCAAATGTGTTGGAAGAGCGAACAAAATTCACCATGCGAGTTCGTAAGCACTTGTCACATCTTTTCACATTTGAAGGCAAACCTTTGATAGTTCCGAACCAAGAGGGTGGACGTGCAACTTGGACTTTGATGCAATCTTTGACATATATATATATATATATATGTATATATACAGTATATATATATATATGTATGCAAGCTCACACGATCCGGGACCACAACATGCTCACACTACATCAGCAGCCTCCATACAAACATCAGCAGCCTCGACGATCACGGCACGGTGGCATTATGTCATATTATGTCGTCATCTCCCGGAGAGGGCAATACTGAACGCGACGGCCTCTCCCACACAAGTCCATTCAGCCCGGCCTCCTCCTCAAAGCATCTTGAGCCTGGCAAGATATGTCGTTCATTGTTTCGACTCATGACCACTTTTTGGTGAGTGATCCAAAATTCACAAGTGAAACAGGCCGTTTGGGGGCGCCCCAAATAAGCTCATCTTGCTCATCTTGCTCCCATATGTAATTCGTGTCACGACGACACGACGCCGTGCGTTTAGGCCGGCCGATGTCCATGTGGCCCACGAGCAAGGCGAAACAGCGCGCCCCGGAACAGTGGCTTTCCGATGTCCATGGGATTTGGTAGATGGTGAGATGGTGAAATTCCTGTGCAATGTCAATACTTGCGGGCGAAAGCAAAGCGCGCATTGAAGAGTCTCCTACCTAAATGCCAGATTTCTTCAGCAAGTCTACTTGACGGACGGAGTCACAATTGAGTAAAGGACCTAGCGACCTAGCATTGGATCTCCGCGATCGGTCCACACATCTCGATCGTTTCGCTGCCAGGGGGGTGTCGATGATCAGGGCACCGCTCATCCGACTTGACGCAAGTCTTACAGTGAGAAAACACGAATCAAGTTCTCCACAAACGCACTCCCTATGTCATTTGCAACGCTGTGATTAGATCCTTCCAAAAGAGTCCAAGGGTATGGGCGGGCCGGCAGTATGTGTATTCCAAGCCCCTCAAACGATCTCAAACGGCGCAAACCACATGACCGCCCTCATCGCCTCCATCTCTGGCAGCGTCCAGCCGATGCAGGCGGCAAAGACCTGAGCTGCTTGGGGCAGCTTTCTATGGCCAATATGTTTCTACAAGGGTCCAATTTGTTTCATGTAGATCAGGTAAACCCAAACAGTCAAGTCAAAGCCCCGTTTCTGATGCGGACAAGAGAAGGTCTGAACAGTTCCGAACAACCACTCGCCGATTTCATACCAAGAAGGCAAATCTGGCACCTATGTAAGGTTTGATTGATTGAATAAATTGATTGCAGTAGACTACTGCTCAGCAGAGTGGGCCAAATACCCTAGCTGGAGCTGCCGCTGCCGATGATAATTACTATTACTACTCCAATGATCTATTATGGCTATTATGATGATGGTAATGATGAGGATAGATTTGAGTGACGTCTGGTCCACCAAAAAAAAAAAAAAATGATGAACAAGCAAAGGAACATTGAAAGAGGAAAGAAACAGTTGGTATGGGGAGTGTCTGCTCAAGGATTTGACCGGTTCAGAGCTATTACAGTAAAAACAAACCAAGGACTGAGACTCAAATCTGACTTCCTGTCGTTTTCAGTGGAAGCTTATGAAAAAAGCATGTGGCATCGGTTTGTTCTGTGAAAGTTGCACACCATGGGGAGGCTTCCAACGATGAAAGTTCCAGGTCCCAGTCCCAACAAGGTGGATGACCTGGGTCTGCAGCAGTCCCCCCTCAGGTGCGTGTGGTTCGCAGTCTGGAGGTTCTCCTCGAACGGCACAAACAAATACAGTGACTTTGCTGCATCTTCGATGAGCAATGGTCTCCAACCTAATAGCGATGTCCTCCAACCTAATAGCGATGGCCTCCAACCTGTCTTGGAGGTTGATCCAAATGCAAAAGAAAGGGAAGACACACCACAACACCGTTTTAACAGATTTGGAACGTGCATTATTTTTGGACTCTGACGCAGTCAGTGGTCTGTGACCGCGTGCTCTTATGATGAAACTGCATTGATCAATTCTCTGGGGGATGGCGTTGAAAAAAGACGCGCTCACAGTCGCTCAACTTCAATGAAAGCTCAACAACAAGGACATCATCAGGGTCGCCATAATCAAACAGTGGGTGTTACAAGTGATCCACAGTCCACTGAGGTTTGAAGTCATCCTAAAGGGAAGATCTCTCAGATTTCACCCACACGCAAGGGTATCAAGGTCGGTTCTGACGATTCAAACCATCTGCCGGCGGACCCCGTACGACCGCGCGGCCGTTCCCGCGGAGTCGGCGCCGTGCCTCGAGCAGCTTCAACTCCCGGAGATGTTCGCCTTGGGAGAGTCATCAATCGGGCGCGGAATAGCTTTTTTCTCACAGCATCCATGTATGGCATATTTATCTAGATTGAGGCCCTGACCCTATGAACTTAAATATGATTAACATTGATTAAATATGCCAAACACGGATGGTCTGGTACCCCACAGACCTGGCATCATATTATGTATGCCTTCAGAAAAAGCCCGACAAAACCGATCCTGTCACTTGGCTTCAGGATCCTCCTTGAACATCTGAAAGAAGTCTGGATGCAGATTCTAAATCTACATCACCATCCTTCTAACGTCACCAAGAAGTGCCAGAATGGCTTCAATCTCGCTCATGTCCATGTCCAACCCACCAGCATCCACCAGCTTCCCGTGAACCATCCAAGCCTTGACTCTTGCCACTCAGTCCTTACAGCCCATCAATGTTGGGACAGCCTTCAGCCAAAAACAAAAAACAGCAGGATAGAGTCATTATGCGTTGCTGCTTCACCTTGCCGGTCCCAGTCCCAGTCATGCCGCTTTTCACGGCCGACCGTCGTCGGGCGCGCTTTGGCGCCCCATGGCCCGTGAGTCGGGCGGCGACCTGTCGGGCGAGGTGTCAAGACCGAAGAGGAGCCAAACAGCCTAGTAGCGTCCTTGTTCCTAGGTGGACGGTCCATGGAGATGTACTTCTCTTCAGTTAACAAACACGGAAACAACCAGGAGCCCCTCGTAGCGTCCTAAGGGAAGTATCACAGCATGGAACTTATGACAATAGAAGACAAGCCAAGTGGCTGAAGCCTAAAGCCTGTCGCTCAAAACATTTGAGGCCCGACAATTCTCTTTGTAATTTCTACCTCTTGGTGAGGGCTCAAAATCGCTTGTGGGTGTAAGGAGATGTGTTGGTCGAAACCATGGAAGACTGAGGTGAGGACCTGTAGGATAGCCCAGCGCTTTTGGCAAAGTTTCCAAAGTTTTCCTCCAGCCCAAATCCATGAAAGCGCTGGCAAAGGAACCCCAGCTCACGTGCGTTACGGGAGCCGTTTCACTCAGAACTAGAGGGAACAGACCAATAGAGTAATTTCACAATCGTTGCTTTCTTCCATCGAGCCTTGGTGACCAGAGTCAAAAGTGACCAGAACCAACTGAACGTATTACACTCACACAAGCAAAACAATGGGAGCAAAAAAACAAGCCTCTCAAACCAAACCATGGTCCACGTCATCGAAAGCTAGGCATGTTCAATGCGAATGACGCTCGCCCGGCCTCAGCAAATGCTACAAAGCTCGCATTGCTCATCATGATCACTGCAATCTGAGTCGTCACAATGCGTTGTGCATTTCCTTAGTTCGGCAAGCCAGCCAACCCAGCAAGCAAGAAGAACAAATTATGGAAGTTGTCCCACCAGATTACCAGAAAGCCGCATTGGATGCATTTGGATGATGTGTTTGCCTGTATCTTGGATGTGCCTCCGGATGATGACCATCCCTTGCAGCCCGCCCGAGTGCGGGCCCGGGCCGTTTTCCACTTGTTCATGTTTCAGTGGGGAAACGAGTCCCCCAAAGGGCAAAAGGGTGATCCACTGACTGGGTACGGGCTTTACATACAATTGAAAGACTTCTTCCATCAACGGTGATGCAAATAACGCCAAGTGTCCTGGCTTTGCCGGTCTCATCCCACCCGTCGAATTTTTGACTGATTGGTCCCAGCATCGCCTGCGGCAAATTGCCATGGGATGCAGAAACGTACCCATCCAGCGTCCTGGTATGGTTTGTAAAGCATCCTTTTCATTTCTGGTTGCATCTCGTTCTAAAAGCAATTCAACGAAAGGAATTTATATATGGTCACTTCCTTTTGTATCGTTTCCAAAATATGTACGCAATTCCACACAAGGAAAAGTGAATGTCCTATGTCCTTTCTAAAGGCACTTCCTGGACCAGACTCCAAATTCTTTTGGGGAAAATGCGCCATGCAACAAATCCATATCCAGGGGGATAAGATCCGCACCAACGACGGTCCGTACATACTGTCTATCTTTATTCTATATTATATCATATGTATTATGTGTTTGTCTTTAACCCAAAATGTATTGTCCTTTAAAAAAATGTGGAAATAAAACATCAATCAAAAGGTGTTGAGTGTTCAGGGGTTAACAACACATAACAAACTACAACAATATACATACCATACCATTTGTATATACACAATATGACACGAGTGCATGTATGTGTCATGCATATCAATGGTTTCTTGTTGCTGTGGTATCGAGAACCAAGTATGGATGATCGGTGATTTGACTCCACATACACAATCGAAACGGCCGCCTTGGGCCTTGGGAGGCAGTCGTGGTTTGTTTCACTCAGCTTTCCGTGATGCAACGAAAAACCTGATAGAACCTCCGAATCCAAATGTTTTTGGGGTAAGAGATGTTTTTGAACTGACATCATCGATGTACAGGACACTGGTGGCCCACCAGGCCACAGAACGGCATGGCGCACGCAGCACAGGCTTTGCACCAAGCACTGGTGCACAGCGGCACTAGGACAACGCATTGTCCGATCCAAGCACCGCATGGCGCAGCGACATCACCGACATTCACTGAGACCACTGTGACCACATCGCAGAACCGCATCGTACGCAGCATGTACAACACCATAGCGCCTAGTGATCGGTTGTGGGTGTTCGTGATCGGTTGTGCCTGCAGAAGGGTTCCAATGTAGTCCTGACTTGTTCTTTTTTGTGATCAACAACAGTTGTCAAACTATGGCCCCACCACTTGCGTTTCAAACCCTTATCTCTGTACCCAAAGTGACGGGGTTCATCGGACATTGGCAACATGTTCCATAACTTTGTCTTGTGCGGGAAGAAAGGTGCTGACCCATCTCAACATAGACCTAGCTGCCAATTCATGGTTCAACATAATGGGAAATGTTTGTTGTTGATGATATTTTCACCGAGCAGCACTTTGTTAAGCCAAATGTAGATTTTGTGGCAGGCGCCCCCCCCTTTGTGAACTTCAAAGTGCAGACTTCGCGGCAAGCACAACACTTTGTGACTGAACCTCGAAGTGCAGTTTTAGTATGCGCACCACTTTGTGAACCTCCAAGTGCCGATTTCGTGGCAGGCGCAACAACATGTGAACCTCGAAGTGTAGATTTGATAGCCAGCGCAGCATGCTCTCTAAAACCTCGTGCCCTCACCTGTGTTCGCACATGCGTGTTTGTTTATGTAACTTATGTGTGTTCTCATGTGTGTGTGTGCTCTCTGTTGTGCTCTCATGCACGTGTTCATGTGTTCGCTCATGCATGTGAACTCTCATGCGTGCGCGTTATACTCTCTCATTTATATATGTGTTTTCATGCGTCTACGTGTGTGCGCGTGTGTTGCATGTTTGTGCTATCACATGTGTGTTCTTGTATGATCTTGTATGCATGTTTGCTCTCATATGTTGGCCCTTACATGTTTGCTCAAATGTGTGCTCTCAGGTGTGTGCTCTTAAATGCATGGTCTCATGCCTCTGTTTTACCTGTGCGCTCTCACATGCCTCCTGTTTTATGTATGCTTCAATACTTGTATCCTCTCATATGTGCACTCGAGAGTGTGCGTGCTCGTGCTTCATGTGCTCGAAGGGGCGGGCCAGTTCCAAAAGTGCAGTGTCAAATCTCCAAAACAAGCATTTGGTATAAGACCCTCTCCATTCATCCAAGACATCTTCCCAAAGCTTCTGGCAGGAGTTTGCTCAACGCGACGAGAACGCAACGAGACCCGAGACGAGACAACACCAGGTGAACACATGCATGTCCAGCCCCCAAACCCCCAGAATATAAACGGGATTGAATGGGAACCCTTCGCCACACCTTCGGGAAAACATGTCTTTTACGCATTTGACGAAATCAGTTTGTTTGAATTTACAGTCAAATTCACCATGAATACATATGCTCGGGTCTTATCTCATTGTCAAGGTTCAGGAGAAGAGTATTTGCCCACTGGGTTGCAAAGCCCAGCTGTGGTATGGTTGTCCCGAACAGGTATCACATTTCTTTCGGCAGTGCGCTGTTTTGCATGGATAGGTGTACCCAAACCATCCCAAACCTACCATGCTCCTGCGAGATCCTGCGTGTACAACTGGCAAACGGATACCTTGTACAGTAGACTTGCCAAAGCCATTTCCTGAATCAAAACATAGGCGTTCCGGCCTTCCGCCCATGCCCATCATCCCATGTGTGCACCCCGGTGTTCCGCCCCGGGCCTTCATCAACCAATCTCCTCGCGTGAACTGTGGCCTCTTCCGAGCCTTCATGACGACCTCCTGCATCTCACTATAGTAGTCATCCTCGGCTCTCCGGTCCCGTGCTAGACGGTGCCTTTTTGAGAAGAACATGTTCTCAACGACCAGACAAAACGAGTCGGCAGACTGGACCTGTACCGGACAAATGCCCGTGTTGAAGGCTCTCTTCGGATTCAACTTATAAACATATATTATCTATATATATATGTATGTATGATAGCCTATTATGGAACAAATGTGGCCAGGCTCGATGTATATCCAAGTTTGGAAAGCATTGGAGGAACTTCTGTGATACAATATAAACAACCAAAGGATTACAAAGGTCCAGACTTTTCCGGGAAATCTATCCGATCGTAGGGTTTCGCGGACCTTTCATCCACTGGAATGGCCTCAACATCCTCAACTGGTGGAGACCAGGAATGTAGTCCCGTGCAATTCCGCGAAAGTTGTGTAAAGGTGACGGGGACTCAAAACACCTCCTCATTCCAGGCATCTGTAACGTCCACCTTGCCAAACTTCTCATCAATTTCGTTCAAGTATCCTGGAGCTACAACAGCTCTACTTTGGCAACTGGATTCATGACACACTTTGGGAAGAAGGTCAAATGTCAAGTTTTGACCAATTCAGGGAAGTAGTAGTTGTATCTTGGTACATCGGAACTCAGAGTCTCAAAGGAGCTCGCTGCACATCTGTTTCTGCAGAAACAGGGCAAGGCTCCACTGGGCTGACAATCCAGGTTTGG